CTAAAAAAACACTCATTTACTTATTCCTTTTAATGAGTTCCTTTTTTTTTTTTCATAGAAACATTCTCATTACTTATTCCTTTTAAAAACTTTTTTATTTCTTTAGAGAAACATTGTCATTACATATTCCTTTTGATAATTCTAATTTTTTTTTTAAGGAGACATTTTCATCAGTGACTTTTTTACAATTCTTCTATTTCTTTTGGAAACGTAACTATCTAACAAGTAATTCTTTAATCTATAACACTAAAATTTATTTATTTTATACATGGAACATTCTTTGATGTTTATCAAAAAAATTCTATGCAAGGGGCAATGATCCTACCCATGCGCAATGTACAGTCAAAAAATAAATTTTTTAATGAGGCATACATTATTCATCCTTTACTTTTTCATTATACTAGTGCATGAAAACTTTTTATACTAAAACTTCTCATGAAGGGGGTAAATTTATATCATTCGTCTTTAAAATTATGGAAATAAATTTATCTTATATTTTAATTTTACTCTTTAATTGTATTAGTGAATGAGAACTTCTTATTCTAAGAATTCTCATGCAGGAGGTAAAATGTAGATATTTGATTTTGATTATTAATATTTTATTTGTATAAATTTATCTAAAGTTGTAAAGTTAAAGATAAATCAAAATAGGTAATAAGGTTATTTTAATGAAAGGTTATTTTATAGACAGTTATTCATAAAACAACTCTTTCATAGAACAGTTATTTACGAAATAACTATTTAAGAAACAACTTCTTCATGGACCAACACCTTTAGATAATAGTTGTTCTCGAAACAACTTTCCCAAAAAACAATACCAACACATTTACTGAAAACTCTTTTACCAAAAATTGCTTCGCTAAGAGTTATTCCACCAAAAAAGCTTCACTGAATGTTACTTCATCGAATAAAGCAGTGAAAATAACCCCGAAATATGGTAGGGTTCTTGGATTAATTTCACTACTGAGATATTCCAAAGAGTTTGGCTTGGTGGATCAGATATAGAGATAATTAAAAAGCTTTCTCTTAATCTTTTCCTAAAATATAAGTGCTTTTCTTTTTCCTTTAGAACAGATAGTGAACTTCTATATTCACTATACCTATCACCAAAAGCTAATTAAACTCTCATTAACTAATACATTAACATATTTGTAACGGCCAATTCTCTCATTATTCACTATTATTCATATTCATTACTCAATATATATAACTCATATTCTTAAAATCTATAAATAAGAGTTTTCACAAATTATGGAGGATTTTTTAACTTTGAAAATTTTCTTATAACTTTCTCTCAAGCTCTGTCTCTATAATCCTCTCTTTTTAAATATTTCTCTCAGCCTTATTTTCTTCTCTACTTTGCCTTATTTCATTATTCATCACCACCTCCTTTTACACTTAATTCTTCAGGGCCTACTCCAATTTTACTCTCCACTGTCTCCTGGCATATACTATTTATTTGTTTGCAATACTTCCTCACTTTAACAAAGAACCCCTTACAACCTCATTTCTTCATTTTACAATTATTTTATTTTTTAAAAATTATTTTAAAGTAAAATTACTTAATTATCCTTCACACTTTTAAAAGATCTTAGACATCCAAGAGCTTTTAAGTGAAATTACTCAAAAGAATCTGAAAGTTTTTAAATGAATTACTTAATTATCATTACATTTAATTAACTACATATTAAATTACTAAAATACTCTTACAATCTCTTCATAAAAATTTGATACGTGATATGTTAAGCATATTATTATAATACCCATGTTAATTATATAAAACTTAACTACATATTAAATTATTATAATAAAATAAAAATTAAAAAATAAAATGTGATAATTAAATACATAAAAAAATTATTTTTTATTTTTTAAAAATATTTTTATAAAAAAATTTATGAACTACAATAAATTAAAAATCATGCATTTGATCAATTGACTGATAAAGATACAACATTCAAAATATAATATAAAAAATTAACAAAAAATTATAATCACAATATACAAAACACTATATATATTAATTTTAATACTTTTTCAATATTTTTATTTATTTTATTATTTATATATATAATAATAATAATAATAATAATAATAATAATAATAATAATAAAATTTTGACAAAAAACTAGTTAAGCCAGCATAGTCGGTGACTATTTCCTGTGAACAATAACAAATAAAACATAAACACTTATGAAAATTGAAACGGCAGACAGAGACGAAATCCCAAAGGCTAGTTTGGATTCAAAAGGAGGGCCAGTTCCTGCGGTTAGAGGTAATTTGGGCCTTCAATCGCGCCACATCATTCGTTTGGATCATCTCCGATGCGGCATCACACCAGCCTATGTCCCTAGCAGTCAATTGGAGAGGGATCCCTATCCCTGACCAACGAATTAATTGTCAGTCTTCCTTTTTTGTTTAAAAATTTATAAAATTATTTGTTTTAATTTAATATAAAATATAAATTTTATTATTATGTAATAAATTAATTACTAAATATTATACAATAAACTAAAAATAAAATTTATTATATTATATTATATTATTTTAACTAAAACAAATAATTACGTAATAAAAAATGAAAAACAAATATTTTTTGTATTATTATTTTTATTAAATTTTAATTATTTACTAATTAAATTATTATTTGATATAAATATAATTTAATATTTTTTACTTGTTTACTAATTTTATAAATTTTAAATAATTTAAAATTTTTATTGCATACTTACATTAGTTTAATGCCTTTAATTATCATTTTTTTTTATTACAATTCATCTCATCGTTAACATTTTGTTTGAATCAAAATATATACTCTCATAATTAATTTTAATTTTATCATTATAACAATTAATTATATTTAATTTCATCAAAATTAATTTTATTATTCATTCAAATAGATTCGTGTCAAAATCCTATTACCGAAATGAACGCGATAACCGGACGAGTTAGGCCCATATGGATGCAACTGATACAGTGGTGGAGATCCAGTTATTATGAATTGGTGTGCCAAACGCAGATCATGAGGTGTTTAGCAAGCATAGGAATGGTGCAACTGCACCAAAATTTTCTCACCACAGTAAAACTTTCCAATGGAGGGGAAGGGGTGTGGTGGTTCACCGCAATCCAAATCAGACAACTATAGCCCTTGAATTTATTTTTAGTCCAATTATATCCTCTGTTTATTGACATTTCTCTCACAAATAAATATTTTTTTCATACATTAATTTGGACTCTTTAATTAATTTTTATTAACAAATTGATTTTTTATCATAAAAATAATTTAATAATAATTTATTTATTTATTTTTAAATATTAAATAATTTAAAATTTTTATTACATGTAAATTTTAATTTAATATCTTTAACGATAATTTATTTTCTCATCATAATTCAACTCAATATCATTATTACGTTTACATTAAAACATATATTCTTATAATTAATTTTAATTTTATTATTATAATAATTAATTTCACTTCTATCATTATTTTTAATATTATTAAAACTAATTTCACCGTTTATCCAAATAAACTTTTAGTGTCCTTACTCCTCTTTTTCTTCTCTTCTTGTCCTAGGATTACAATGAATGGTTAGATATACCTTGCCACCATTTTTACCTTCTCAACTTTGCCTGAGACTTATAAGTTTATTTTCCGTTATTTTAACTTTTAATTTAAAGTTTTTTAAATTAATTTATTATAATTATTTATCATATTATTTATATAATTATTTAATAAATTAATTAATAGTTAAAATAATAAATATAAAACTAAAAAATCAATTATATAATTAAATAGATTATCAGTGAATGAAAAAAAAATACATAACTATATAAATAATAATATAAATAAATATTAATTTTTTTCTTTTAAGATATATAAATATATTAATTTTTTTAAATTATTTTTTTGAAATAAAAATAATCATATATTATAAATTTTATTATATATTAATTTAATCTAATATCTTTAATAATTATTTTTATTTTATTATATTTAATCCCACTATTACTATTACATTTCATCTAAATATATATCTCATCACTAATTTTAATTTATTGTTATAGTATTCAATTTTATTACTATAATAATTAACTTCATTATCACAATTATTTTTAATTTTATCATAGTCAATCTAATTATCTATCTAAATGGACCCTAAAAAAACAAAAAGTGTGGTGAGAACTACGAGTTTCACTGGGGGGACAAGTGCTAGTGGCTAAACAAAGTTTTAGTCCAGTTAAAAAGCATCTAATCTCCACCGAAGTAGTGTGCCAAATGCATAACCAGTGCGTTTAAATGATTTAATCGCATCCCATTAAGAACATCCAAATGTGGCCCAAGAATTCAGAGAAGTGAGTTTTGGCACAAAAGAATTTGGAGTGTAAGATTCGACCGCAGGATCTCGCTTGCAAGCTCCAAACCATCCTCATCAAGAAAGTCAGGTACTTCGGGATTATTTTTCTTAATATGATAAGGTTTAGATGGCTTTGGTTAAAAAGAAGGTAACAAAGAATGTCGACTATAGATATATTGATGGATGTCGACTATAGATATATAGATGGATGACCCAAGGAACAATCTTTACTATTGTGTTCGAATCTGTTGTTTATAGCTGGAATTATAGAAATTGTTGTTATAGATTTAATAATATTGCTTAAGAAAAAAATTGTTGTTCCTGTGAAATATTTTCAATTTTTGTTTCTTGCTTTTCATTTCCTTGAATGAGTAGAATAAGATCATAAAATATAGTGTCTTTGTTGCTGATAAGTTGGTTCGAATAAATAGGGGTCTATGATGACAGCTTTGTTGTAATTGCTGGTAATTTTGCAGAAAAAGTTCATTTTTCTTATGGAATTCAATGAGCATGCGAACCTTTTTTCTTTTTTATGGCTAAACCTGATAAGTTGGGTAATGGCATTGGCTTTGTACTAATTTGACATAAGGAAATGTAGTCTTTCAGGAATTTAGCTGGTTGAGAATTTATGATATATAAATTTATGTGCATTGAAATAATTATCATAGACATTTTTTATTGACCATGATCACCTGTTGTATCATTGGATCAAGAGATGAACGATAAGATTGTTAACCATGGTGATTGATTAGATGGTTTTGTTCATTCACATCCGTGTATTGGTACCATCGATGTCAATGACTCCTCTACGATCCCCTATTCAATGTACTTTTCTTTGAGTGATGGTTTTCTTAAGAGTACAAAATGGGATCTGAGGAACAGTCACCCCTCTCCCCGTTTAAGTGTAGTTCGGCAATGTTTTTGAACCTTTGAAAGATGAGGGCAAGGTTATTTTGTTTTGGCTTTTGCTTTTCATTGTGTACACATGTTTCTAACTGCTTTTGATGGGACAATGACTGTCATGTTCAATTTTACCTGCATTTAGCACATTCATGAAATCTGATCGGTACAGCATTCGTTACAATAATTAATTTTACTGTCACCTTCAAAATAATTAATTTCATCACTACCTAATTTGACCCCTCATCCAGATTAACTTTAACTGAAATTGATAGATCTATTGAACTTTAGTTCTAAATTACACCTCAATTCATAGTTTCATGTTTAAAAACCAAACAATAGAGACCCTGATTTTCCGTTAGATTCGTGATAACCACAAAGGAGAAATAGAAATAACTGATTTATAAAATGAGTAGACGCTTTTAACAATAACAAGGACTTGGATTTATTTTCAACCCAAAAAGCAACACCTTCAGTGCTGGATGTCGCCAACGGATAACTGAACAGAGAAAGAGATGATTTCAAAACCACTTATTGCAACTGAGTAGTATTTACTTGAATTCCTATAAGTGTACAGCAGATCTTAATTTCTGTACATTTTTTGTTAAACAGTGCCTCAGATTTTGTCAATAATACATCACACAAGCGGATAGAAATCACTTGCAAACTGCTTGGGATGCCAACTAACCTTTTACTGAGCTGCAATTGATCCATTCTTACACTCAATGAGGGTGCTAAAAATCCCACATCATGGTTAAGCCCCTCTCAATCATGGTTCCACTGTTCAGCCTTCTGGAACGATTAAACAGTTGAAAAGGTTCAGGAACTGCTCCGGCTCCTTGCCTTCTGAAACTATCTGCGTGTTGCAAATAAAATTTTCACATTAGAGAAATAGCTCATAATATCTAAAACAGTGGGTTAGAAGGGACTTGTGTGTTTGTTATGGGGTCGGTTCACAAACGAAAGAGTGAAGATTTGACATGGTATTCAGGTATTCTTTGCTAAAGTTTCAGCAGTCCAGACTGCTTTAAACTATAACAATAATGTAACAACACATATAACCAATATGCATAAGTTCATGTTTAGGCAAATAAAAAAAAAAAAAGATTGTCAAACTACGCCTAATTCTACTGAGAAAAAAAATCTTTATGGAAGGGGAAGGCAAAGTCTTATGCTAGCAATATACAATTTCCAAGCACACATGCCATCCTTAGGGCTACTTTACGCCCCCATTTTCATTTTATTGTAGAAAGAATGTTCAACTTGCTGCCAAGGTTCTAAGTCCCCACTAGCAAGCTTGGTGGGGCGGTGGTCAGACTGTCCATCCAACTTGGATTGAGTGAATGCCTGTGGGCCATAGTCGTCTAGACTCCTCCTGTCAGCTTTCCAGCAGGTATGGTTTAATCACGCCCTACCTCTATTCCATACCCTTTTTTCTCTCTAAGCAAAAAAGCAAAGTCCAACAGATTTGATCAATGACCTATTCAATTATACAGGTTCTCTTACATCAGTAAGCTTGAACAGCTCCTAAACTCACACTTCTAACTAGCATATTATTGGTGACTGACCAGATATACACAGATCTCTGACTTAAGCTGTCTAATCTCTAAATCTTTATCAAAGAAACTGAATTCAATTACCGCATTTCAGCAAAAAAAAAAAATCCCTTGTTTCATCACTCTTCAACAGTTATCTTCACTAGCAAAAAATTTCATGTGCTCTGTATTTTCAACACTATCAGCACGACTACTAAAATTTCTGGCAGTAAAGAATTAGAACCTGTGTATTTGATTGTGATGATCAATAACCATGTTTATACAAGTAACCTTATTCCTTTTCAATCCCCCACTTCTTTACAGCAGCGAATGGGGATTCTCCCTTCTTCAAAGCAAAGGGGAAAAACATGTAGTAATCATGTCATCTACATGATTATATACATCAACAGGAATCATGAAAAAAATCTGTTGTGCATAAAACTGATCTCTTGAATTAGAGAAAACTTGTATAGAAACTGAACGTGAATTGCAGCTAAAGGATTACAGACTTGCTAATACAACCACCTTCAATGTTATTAATAATCTTCTTTATCGCTTAGGGAAAAGTGATTCCACTTTAATGGCTCATGCAGAATTCCAAATCACTAATAAACTAATCAGCTATTTACAGAAACTTAACCAAAAATTTTAAAGGAAAATATAATTTGTTATATGAATTTCAGAATAGAAGTGCGGGGGTTACCTGTATAGAGGCATTTAGGGGCAAATCCATATTATTAAGAAAGTCACGGCCAATAGATTCCCAGTAAAGATGGCTATCCTTGTCTGTGCCATCAGAGCTTACAAATTGGCTCTGCCCTTTTTCACAAAGAACTTCACGCCCAAGCCAGACATATAAAACACAAGAATGATCGCTTGCATCTGGAGCCAATAACATATATGCTGCTCCAGACTCAAGGATGTGAGATCCATGCATCTCCACTTTATTGAATGTAGGCCACTGGTACAGAGCTGAGGTGGTTACTCCTGAACCCTTCTCAAAGATACCACCGAATTGAGGATGATATTCACCATATTCCCCTTTACTTTCAGCCCCGCTATGTGACTCAATACTAGCACCAACAGCTTCAGCATCTAACATTATCTCTTCTCTATTGTCTTCGGGCTCATCTTGGTTACAATCTACGTCATTCATTACATGATTATCTACGTCGGGCAAAGAAAAGGACCAAGACCTTACAAGATTCCTGGGAACTGGTTCATCAACTGATGGTAACAGCATGAGCGGTGGAGGATGACTCCCCCTGCGCTCTGCAATTGACAGAGAAGTACCTTTACAAGGCAAACAAGTATTTGCCACCTTCAAAGTAAGATCAGAAGAAAATGTCTTTGTTGGTGAAGGGAAACTTTCTTTATATGTTAAAGAAGAATTATCTGGCGAGGAGACATTCTTGATTGAAAACAGTTCAGTAGCTTCGAGGCCAGAAGGTGAAGGCTGCCGAGAAGACCAATATGACAAGTCCGACCAATTAGAGGATGAGGGTGAAAAGGTAAATGAACTAGCATAGTCAGATGTTGAAGGTGAAATTGTAGGAGACTTGGAACTGAATTTTGGGCTGCTAGCCGCAAAACAAGAAAAAGAATTTGGTGAACCACAAGGAGACCTTGGTGCCAATGGAGAATCCAAAGAAGTAACTGACAGTTCTACTTCTTCACAAGGATCTTTACTCTGAATTGGGCTACCATCTGGGAAACAGTCAAAGGAGTCTGGTGAACCACATGGAAAGATTGATGGCGATGATGGTGTAGAGAGTGAAATATTATCTTCTGAATCTCTATGAATGTCTATAACCATATCCGATCTATCACTGACTGGAGTCAAGTTACAACCCAGTTTGGATGAATTCACAAATTCCTTCATAATTCCATTAGCAAACTTCTGCCTTAGTCTACCCCATCCATTTTCTCTGGCAGGAAGGCAAGTTTCTGATTGAGAAGTTGACACTGAAAAAGGCGGAACAACTCCACCAGCAAGTGCCTTATGAAAAAGTTCAAAATCCAAATCATAATCATCTACCTTCCTTTCATCGACACAATTTTTGGTTGCTGCAGCCATCTCATCATTCTCAGAAGCCAAACTATCTACCTTCCTGACCTCTGCTCTGTCACAACTATCTGCTGAGAGCTGTCCAATAGCAAGGGCATTCCAGAATTCCAAAGGCTCTTCCCCTTCCCTCACGGTTAAAATAGGACCCTGCGCCCGTTCATATCGAATAACCTGATTGGCAGCCAATCCAGCACTATTTGACATTACATAGTTGCATTTCTTTCCAATCCAAACATACATAGCAGAAGGTACATGCACAATGAACGCCCCACGTGAGTCAAGTCCTTTTTTTCCTGGATGATTTAACATTTTTGGTACAAGATGAAGAGGATCATACGAGGAGTGCGGAGCCATTCTATACACCCTAAGCACAGAATTCGGGCTCGCAGGCACAGCATGCACCCTCTTTTGGCACTGCAGAAGTTGGAACGCAAATCCTGTATTTGGATTAGTCACCCCTCGAGCTGCCTTCACATACTGAAACGCATCCTCAAAGCTCTGGCCTTCCCTCCACATGAGATAGGCAATAACCAGGGAAGTTGATCTTGACACTCCCTGGCAGCAGTGCACCAGAACCCTCCCGCCTTGTTCTCTAACATCTTCAAAGTAATCAAACACATCATACAGGATACTAGTAATATCCTCAGAGGGGCTATCTTGTAACCAAAGTGTCTTGTAAACAAGATCATTCTTGAAATACTCAGGACAGACAAAACCAACGCAGTTCAATACATGAGTAATCCCATTTTTTCTCAAAATTTCCCTATTCTTAGCCACAGCTTCACTCCCTAAATAAATATGATCAGCAATCCTGGAACACTCCTTATCGTAGAAAGCTAGCTTATCTCTCCTCAACTGAAACTCCCTATTGGAACCCGGACTCTCAAGGGGCTTAACAGAGCATCTAGGCGTCTGGGGATTAGGCCAAACACCAAGATCATCAGAACCAGCTTTTGGCCACTCTTCCACAGGCCTTCTTGTTATAGAAAGGGGAGGCAAACAAGACCTCCCCTTTGTGTTTTGCGGCGGTTTGGGATTAGGCTCAGTTGGTGAACGGTCAGTCCAAGATACTGACCGTATATATGGCTTCCGGCCAGCAGCAGCAGCAGACCCGGCATCCCGGTCTTTTTCTTCTTGACCTAACATCTCAAATTAAAACAAAAAAAAAAAAAAGAATTCTAACCAAAATTCGAACAACTTAATTGATACTCATTAAAGGATTCTTCCAGGAAAGGCCCTTCAAAATGGAAATTTTATGGTCTTTTTGATAATAAATAAAAAACCCAATTTTCTACCTAAACCCCTTGACTCTTCTCTCTCTTTCTTTGAATTTCTATGTAAATGTACAAAAGCTTAGACAAAGAAAGAAGAAGAAAAATCAAATACGAATATGACCCAGTAAAACTTCTAGCTTAGATATGAGACTAATGGAAATACAACTGTGATAGACAAAAGAGGGAGAAAAAAGAAAAAAAAAAAAGCACTTGTTTATTTATTTTAATAAAGCTGAGATTTTTGAAGAGAGACTTACATGAAGTCAACCTTGAAAGGAAAAAAAGAAACAGAAGAAATTATCAGTCATTTGGAAACTCAACTTTAGACAGCGGAATTTTGGAGAAACTGTGAATTCGAAAAGAGGATACAGCAGAAACCATTCAACAAGAGAGAAAAAGAGTACGAAATCAAAACAGAGATACAAAGTGAGTTGGAGGGAACGAGTTATGGGGACTCAGTAATAGCCTAGCCAATGGGAGAGCAGTTTGTTGGAATGCTGAGAATGAAAAGAAAGAAGAGAACGGGTCAACGTGACACGTCATCAGGTATGGAGGTTGTAATTAATCGTGCATGTCAAGTCTTGTGATGTCATTTATGCTATTGTTAGGAAGATTTTTTTTTTTGGGAGACAAAAGCAAGATTCCTTTTTACAATTCTTAGAAATCTTTCTTTTTTATAATTCTTTCCATTTCATTTTTTTGAATGCGAGACACACTCGTCCTTGCGAATATTTTCAGACGGTGTATAGTACGAGATGGTTATTTTAAAAGTTATAATGATTTATATACGATGGTTAAATTATTATATTTGATGAATATTTAATAATTTTATATAATAATAAATTTGAATCATCAAAAGTGATTTGTTTATGTACAAGATGATTTTATTTTTATTTTAAAAATAAAAAATTTTCATTATGAAAATAAAATAACATGTAAAATTAATAATAATTAATATTATTTATTTAATAAGTAAATTAAAATTTTATTTTTGTAAGAATTATAATTATTTTATATTATATAATTTTATATTTTTAAATTAATATTCATTATAATAAATTCAAAAATAATTTTTTAATAAATATTTTATATATAATGTAATTTTTTCGTTTATTATGGATTTAATAGGTTAAATTTATTTTTTTATTTCAAATTTTTATCTAAATTTTATTATAAAAATTAATTTATCTACCAATAAATATATTTATTAATTTAATTATGTTTTATTATCAAATAACATTAAATCATTAATTTATATAATTATTATAATATGCATAATTATTTATATATTTTTAAAAGTGATAATATTTTATTTTTAATAATACAAAATATAATGATCTACAATTATTTAATATTAATAATTATTAATCAAATAAAATAATTTTAATTCACGAATGATATTATTATTTTAATAATATAATCATTTTAATAATTATATTATAATAATAATTTTGTTTAAAATACCAAATACTACTTTAGTCGCTCGAGCATTTAAACTGCCATATTGTTTCAAGTTTCAAAATAGAGATCGATACTTTTCAATAACCGGTTATTCAAGTTCTTCCTGCTTTGGCCTATTTGATGTTGAAATTGGGGTTTTTGTATCAAATGAAAAGAAAATATTTGAGCCTGTACTCTGTAGAGATTATCTCTCTTTCTTTAAACCATCATTGACAGAAAAAAATAAACTTATGATAACAAGAAAGGAAAAAAAAAAAAAGAAAATAAATGGGGGACTGGGCATCACGCTCAACAGAGAAGAGCAAGAGTAGAGGGAGGATAAAAAATTCAATCTTCATACTGGAAACCCTTCAAAAAGCTCAGGCTACCAAAGAGTTTGCCCCATCTGGTTATTTTACAATGTCGTGAGTCGAAAATTTTTAAACAATATTTTATTGAAAAAATAATAAAACTTGAAATGTCAGACGACTTGCTATTAGAGATTTCAGTCTCGACTTCAGAAATCGTGGCGTTTTATATGCTTAACTCTGCTAAAACGTTAGTGGGCCGACTGTCCCTAGCATTCCCCTTACTTTTATATATAGAATTGTGGATAACGTACCCAGAAAAGCCTACTTGCTCTCCATTGCATATTTGAATTACACATTTTTTTCCTTAATAATAGTAGTAAGTAATTTTTCTTTTGTATTTAAATATACTAAAAATTATTAATATTTTCTTTAAAATATCAATAATTTATCTAGTATGTATTTTTTTAGTACAAAATTACCGTAGTTTGAAAATAAAAAAAATTATAAATACTCATGTTGATGGTGTTTTGGGTGTTGGTAGGATGAGAAGTGATCTAAGGGTCGTGCGAAGGATGAGTTGAACAGAAAGCACAATTAGAGGGTGTTGAAGTTGGTTTTTAGGGAAATGCTTTTAATGCTCTTAGTCAATTATTTAGAATTTTGGTGAGAAAGAAGGTAAACTGTCAAGATTATTCAAAAAGCTTAAAGGAGAAGAATTCTTAGTTCATACTATCCTTGCATCTCTTTTTTATATTATATATGAGAAAAATGGTGGTAATATGACTATGATAGTTTACAGTTGATGATAAGTTTATGTGGAGTGTCATAATGTATAGATTCGTAGACCTATCGTTAGACATAGATTTATAAGTCACTATCAATATTTTTTATTTAAATGTGATTGACCACCTAATTGAATCAGTCTCATTTAAAAAGAAGTCTTAAAATTAACTTAAGTATCTTTAAATAATAAATTCTAATCTATGACTCTAGATTTTAGGTTCGGAGTGCAATTACGTATGAGAAAAGTTACAGTATTCTCATAGCACCCATTCAAAGGATCGTATCGGTTTGATTTCAAATATTCAAGGTTTAAGATATTTTTATAATTTTATCAAATAATTTAATTATTAGAAATTGATCCTAAATTTACTTCGACAGTTTGGTAGTAATTTATGATAATTTTTTCACCCCAAAAATATTCATGGAGATTAGTGTCCTAATCTAAAGAGGTGCCGTTATCGAATTCATTAACATAATTTATTTAGAAAAATAATTAGTAATTAGTAAAATCCTCCAACAGTTTGGTAAGATTTACTTTGATGCAGATCTTCTAATAGTTTGGTAAGACTTAATTGTAAATTTATTTTTAGAAAGTTCATTAAACATTCTAATAGTTTAGTAAGATTTAATTTAAGATTCAAATCCTCTAATAGTTTGATAGGATTAAAACAAATAATTTTTTTTAAATTGATTTATGAAATTCTCTAATAGTTTGGTAGAATTCATAAAAATATAAATTCATAAAAAATCCTCCAATAATTTGGTAGGATTTATAAATTTATTTTGAAAATATTTTTCATTTTCTAAGATAAATATAATAATAAAGAAAATAATAAATAATAGAATTTGAATAAAAAATTTATCAAAATTTAAACCCAGCTCGACTTGGCTAGAATAGGACTCAATTGTTGAGATAAAGGATGGCTCAAGAAGGCTCGGCTTGGGGCTTGACTTGGCTTAGTTAAGGATATTAGAACCAGGTTGTGAACCCAGTGACACAAGAGATTAGGTCAGGTAAAGTAAAACGTGTGGATCTAAAGTGGGTATGGGATTCAAAATGACATCGTTCTTTCCTTGTATAAAAGCCATAAGTTTTTTTGTTTTCCTAAGAATAACTTATCCTCGCTTTTCACTACCCACATTTTCCCTGTCCTTCTCTCTATAAATACATCAAAAAATTCAAGCCAATTTGTAGAAACCGATCACCAATATTGGAAACTTCAAGCAATCGTCGAGAAATTCAAAGTTTTCTAGAAAAACCAAAAAACGTAAAAAAAAAATCCAAAAATCCTAAAAAAACCTTATTCTAGAAATTTAATAACCTTTAAAGATTTAACCCAGAAACTACCAAAATTCCATATTCAAAACAAACGTTCTCCAAAACAAAAATGTGAAAATGACCAGACTAAGTTAAAGTTGAAAGTGATTGAGTTATGCCAAAAAAAAAAAAAATGAAGATGACCAGGACTGAGAAGTAACTAAAAATATTAAACGGCTTGGACTGAGCCAAGGTCGAAAATGAGTTACCGGGATTGAATCGTAAGTCTAAAAAATAAATGACCTGGACCGAGCCGAGGTCGAAAATGATTGACTGAGATTGAATCACAAGTCAAAAAAATCAGTGTTAGCTTTTTAAGTGAGATGGTTATCCAAGAGGGGGTGAATTGGATTTCCCTAAATTTTTCCCAAACAATGATTTCAATATAGTTGAATGAAAAATAAAACAATAAGTACTTTTGATGGAAATATAATGCAAACAATAACAATTAATGAACCTAAAATTAAATATAAACAGCAATAAATTGTAAGGAGATAGGAATAGAGAAATTAAACACAATAATTTATAGAGGTTCGATTCTTTTCCACAAGGCACCTACGTCATCTCTTCTTAGTTGTCAACACCAAGGCTTCAATCCACTATTCTTGAAATGAAATACAACTTATCTTTTCTTTCTAAGAATTAAGATAGAAACCTCTACCCTTTGTAGTATTTTACCCAATCTCACTACAAAGCTCTCAAGAGGATATCTCATCTCTTGTTCTCTTTCACCCTTGTATATCAAAGATAATTTTGCAAACAACAGAACAATCTCTCTAAGGCTAAGTGTTTACTAAGTTTAAGTACAAGAAAATGATGAATGAACAACAAATATAATTTGGATACAATACATACAAAGATAAGGATTTTGAAGCTCTAAAAACTTTTAATTCTTTGAAAAAATAAAAATATGACTTATTGGCTCTTGCTCTTGGTGTGTTGGAGTGCTTAATTTATAGAAAAATTAAAGAAGTAGCCATTGAGGAAGCTTGGAGTAAAGAAATGCCCATTGGAATAATGAAAAAGTAGTCGTCGGTGTGCTTGCACCCCTAATTGATTGATCCCTTGCTTGAGGGGATCGATTGGTTCATGTTTTGAACCATTTTTCACTTGAAAATAGCCTAACTGATCGAGCCCTTTTTGTAATGGATCGATTGGTCAATGGGGTGATCAATCCCTTATGTGGGGGGATTGATCCCTTTTCTGGATTTTTAGTCATGGGAGCATTCTGTTTGAAAAAGCAATCGATCATGTCTAGAGGGAATTGATCCTGTCTATGCTGGGTGGTAGTCTCTTATTTTGCACTCTACTTACTAATTTAATCATATCTTGAGTTATACAAATCCAAATTACAAATCGTTTGAAGATTCAAAAACTATACTTAAAGGGCTTTCTATATAAAATTTATCACCTAATTCATTGAGTATGAATTATAGTGAATTTTCAAATTTACCCCTAGTGCAGTTTTTCTGACAACTGCAGAATGTCTAGTAAAAATCAAAATCTTTTTTTAGAAAATTTAGATTTAGATTTTTTTAATCCATTAGAAAGTAGGTTTAAATAAATTTTCAACCATATAAAATTCAAATATTAAGACTTTGTGAATTAATATAGAAAAATAAAATAAATTCAATGTTGAAAAACTTTGTTATTGTAAAACAACTTTCTTAAGTTAATCTTTTTCTCAAAACCAATATTATCAAAATTGTATTAAGTCCAAAATAAATAAATTCACTTTAGAAACAACAATTGGACTTTCATTTAAGCTCAAATAAATAATCTTTAAAGATAGATTTGGTTTGAGAAATATGAAACCAAGAAAGGTTTGTTTAAACTTTGAAAATCATATTATTTATTTAGTACCAAAATATAAAACTTAAGAACATGTACTAAATAA